CGGCGGAGCCGACGAGGGGCGTCAGCCCAAAAATAAATATAGCTAAAGGATTGATATATTTGGCTGATATAAGTATAGGATATATTACACCATGAATAACGGGGACTTAGATGGACTGTTAGGCTTTAAGTTTGGCTGAAAAAAGGACTTTGCCGTGCGTGAAAGACCTTGAACAAGTTTGTAATCGATTGTAGGTTTTTAAGTTTGGGAGTTTTACGGCGTATGGATTTAACTAGCGAACATTGTCCAAAGTGTAGACGTTCTCATCATGAGGACTCAACCATAAAGACGTGGTAATTCCAACTGTTGATAAGCTCTGGTAATCAAAGATAAACACCACATGTTTAATTAGGAAATCATCTACACATGGGTACAAATGAGTGACGTTCTGTGGCCAGGTTAGCTTGCCTCAGGCTCGTTTTTGAGATATCATCAGGGTCGTCCCTCTCCATCCATGTGACGATATGATGGATGGTGAACAAATCCACTTTGAATGGTACTTTACATGGTTTCAATTTGGGTCCCAAAACATAGCCACAAAACGAGCCAATATGGTAGTTAAAGAGACCAAATATGTTTGGATTTCCAATATAGGTATGTAACTGGCTTGAACCCCCTTGTTCATCCCAATACATCATAATTTCATAACGACCCTACTCACGTCGTGGCAGGGCCGGTTGACAGCAACAACATAAGGGCACTCCTATCCAAATGTTGGTAGTCGAAGATTCAAAGTGATTCCCATAATGTGTCCTAATAGTCCCTGATAAACCAGGTAGTACAACCAAAATAATCCCTTCCCCCTAATGATGAGTACCCCTAAACCAAAAAACCTTGGGTTAGAAACGACTGGATCGCTTCATCATGAGCCCCCTATCGGTACAGTACGGGAATCGCATTGACCCAAACATTGGAATCGCGTCGCCCTGGTTTTTCTGCTTCCGAATTACATAACAATAGTTATAATACACAGCCCCACTCATGTTCATGGCTTAAAACTTTAAACTCAAGAAACTGCAAGAGGTCCACACCTCGCCGTTGAGGGAAGATGAAGCTCTTTCCGAGGTAGGCTTCCACCGGCCTCAGGGTCAGCCAGGGTCTGCGAAGGGGGATCGGAATGCAGCAAACATGGTGAATATCAACCAGAAAAATAACTGTGTCACCTTTTGCAATGTCCCTTTGTATTATTTTCTATGATTAAACCAAGACATTATGACTCAGGGAAAATCTATGTTTTACATCATCAATTATAAGGCTTACCTGCAGATTTCTCCTTGATCCAATTCCTGGACAAAGCTTGGCAAGTTGTATCACCACCTCGCGTGGAGCAGAACTTCGCCCTTGAAAGTAAGATACCCTCCTGCAAACTTCCAGAAAGATGTGGAAAACCCACCATTCTTACATCATTTTCCGAAAACCATCAGGTGTTCCGGTGTTCCACATCTTGTTTCAGAAAGTCATCAGCAGCTCCCTGCGGAACTGAAAAACTGCGCAGCTCAGCTCCTTACGACCTCCAAGGCTTTAAGCAACTCTTGGCCAGCTTCTCTTTAGGCCTCCGAAGTTTCCGGTCAGAAACTCAGGATGTCTCAGGATGCCAAAAGAGACTCGTGGAGAATGGTCTACCACCAAGCCGGGAAAAAATAGATAAAACAGTGGGGAATGACATGGAATAAGCTTCAGGAACTGGATGTGAACCAATAATCATCCAGTCAATGGATTGGTTTAAGGGACAATTTTGATCAGCATCCGTGGCTTTTACTCCCAAATTGATTGGGGTGTTCCTGCAGATTTTCCCTCACACTTTCAACCAATTCTGGGATTGCAAGTATCTAACTATGGATATTCACCATATCATTAGCCTGGTTAAACCAGCTTTGCTACCTAGGGGGCTCCTTTCCGCGGAATTCTAATATGGTGAAAGCATGTTAAGGCTCTATAATGACATCAAATGGCTACATGTAAGTTAGAATTGGATTTAGTCAGGACCTCTCAAGCATTAAGATCTTATCATTGTTTGGAAAATTCAACTCGTGATGCACTCTACTCAAACAGGGCTGCAAACTATAGGGATATCATGGTCGGAATGCTGGATGGAAAAATGGTGACAACCCCGTCTTCCATTGGATATCTCTAGACCCTGAGCCCTTGGCGATACAGAGGAACTGCTGGAGCTTGATGGGCTGGAAGGAACTTCCTCAGCGCGCGTCGCCAAGATCTTCCCGCCAAACATGCTGAATTTCACAACCCCAAATAGGTCTGTAGCAAAACTTTCCTAAAATATCCTATACATTTGACATGACTGGGTGAACTGGATTCAGGGATGCTTACTTATCTGGTTGGGGTATACCTACCTTCGTCAGTTGGGATGATGAAATTCCCAATATATGGAAAGTCATAATCCATTCATGTATTAATAATTCACCAGTATTAACCATTAATAATCCCTAAATCTCCATATTAGATAGTATATTCCCAATATGATGGGAAAGTCATAAAATTTATGTTCCAAACCAGCAACCACTTATCCCTTCAAGGCACAACTTGACATCCTTCACTATATTCAAATGCTCCAGATTTACGCTGTTGGACCCCTGAAGCTGCGGACCACCCAAAACATACGGAACAACAAAGAAACATCTACAACTCAAGAACAGCAATTGAAATGTCAACACATGCCTCTTGAAGTTGAGAAAAACCAATCTGGCAAGCCGCAAATTTACCAATTGAGCAGTGCTCAAAACCTTGTCGTGTGCCTTTCTACTGGCTGTTTTTGCGATTTCCCATAGTTGGTTGTGATTATCTGCAATCTATTGGATTTTATAAATTCCCGCACTCATCAACCGGGGCACCGCTTCCTCCAATCGGAGGGTCCGGACCTGGCGACGTGAACTAGGTGAAGTAGGGATGCTTCAAAGCAAAGGGGAAATCTATTAAATAGTTGGGAAACTGCAAAGTGAAACTACATTAGTTGATAGTATTAGCATCTGACCCAAGAAATTGGTAACTGCAAGTCATATACGAAATATTATCAAAGATGGGAATGGGAAATCTGCGATAAATGGAGGTTTATAGCTGGAAAATGTTACCTGTACCATCCGGATCCCTCCGGTTGTTTCAAAAATGCCTCGGAAATCCACTATGAATGGAGGTTTATAGCTGGAAAAGACAACTAAAAAATGGATATGTTCCATTGCCACGTTTGATTACCGGAGGGTAGGTGAAACACATGTTATTTTAATGTTCACTTTTGAGCAAGACATTGCGTTTGTCTGAAGATGGAGTACCGCCAGTTCTAACCAATTCTCATCATCGTGCCCATTAACATGGCTTTAGGGTATCACATTTTTTTGGACAAACACACAATTATACCCTCCGGTGGACTAAAATAGCTATGGTATAGACGGCTCATTTAGTTCAATGATATACTTAGAAAAATTGTTATAATCTCAAATTTGATGTAAAACAAATCTTAGAAATTGATAATCCAAAATTGCTACTATGATGATATACTTAGAAAAAATGTTATATAGTTAAATTGTGATTTCCATTGATTTCAATAGCAAACATACGTCTACCGGAAGGGATTCCAACAAATCTGCTGTCAACAAAAGGCTCACAGTCCCAACAAGCTCAGGTTCCTGGGGCATCGCCTTGCACAGTAGAGATGTTGATGGTTTTGTTACAACAAAATTGGTTTAATTGTTGGAAAATATCGACATTGTATTTTCAGATGAGTTTCTGTAGGTGGTTTCAGACTCCAATGTTTGTATGGTTTATGATACTTCTAATTATAGTATTCATGGTGTTATGAACCAACAAACATAGCTGTAATATTGCTATCCTGTTTTTCGGCAAGTCAACAGCCCAGTTTCGTCCCAAGTCATCCCTGGTGACGCTGCGAAAATCCACCCGACTTCTGCGCCTCATCGGCCTGGAGCAGAGCCGAATGTCTTGTTGTGCAAAAGATAATCACATGTCAGAAATACATAATCTTCTATATTTTTTACATTCGTGATCTCCATATATATATATATAAATTATGGTTGTATTATGTATATACAAGACACGGATTTATAGAATATTGTATGATACTATATAATATGTACAATATCATACAATATGATAATATTTCAAACTGTACTGAGTTAGATATATTATATTAAATTAAATTAAATTATATTAAACGATATCATATCATATTACGTTATATTATATCATATTATATTAAATATTATTATATTATATTATATTATATCTTATTATTTAAAGTACATTATATTATTTTATTTTTTTTGATATTAAATTATATTAAATTATATTAAATTTTATTATGTTATATTATATACATATTGAATATAACATGGACTAGGGACCATAGACATGTTTACACATGTGCAGATGAATACCGCATGATATCTATATGCCAGATCCGATGGCGCCTGCTTGCGTTCCCCAATCACAAAGGGATGCTGAAGCGAAGGCTCTAGCACCTCCTGCCGGACTCACAAGGTGGTGCAGCATAGAAACTGAAGGTTTATCCACCAAAACAACATAGCATTTAACATCATTTCATGAGCAATATAATTGATTTATCTTAGCTGAGTTGCCTGAAAAAACTCCGATCACGTGGGTGTATGGGATAGTTGACCATGCCCTACCAAAAGAATCATGTTCGGACTTTGTATGAATTTGCTATATGTGCTATTGAAACGTCCATTTGGGAAACTTTTAACTTATAGCTATAACTGTGAACACACCCATACGCAATGAACACATATAATGTCTTGGGGTTGGGTGGTTTGGTCGTACCATTCCAAGGACACAGGTATTGATAGGGATATGTGAGGTGACACAACCAACTGTGACCTAGCTAGGCATATAAAGTAGACCCAGGACTAGAAACCAACAGCAACCAAAATCAACGTAAATAATCATAATTCTATCAGTTGATGCAATGGAAACCAACAGTTCTTCATTAGCTATCTGAAATCTACGGGCTTTCAACACCTCAGAAATGTTCGACCCGCCCCTTCCACTTTTCTGGTCGCTGCTCCCGGGATCAACCTGTCACTCCACCTCCACTGGTGCCGTGCTCCATCTCCAGTCATTCTCAGGGGGCGCAGCGCGCCGGCCGTGATTTCCAGCAGCCTCCGTCGGCGTTGAGGACATCGTTGTGACGAACTTGTTGCGGTCGTCATGTCTTGGGGATCAAGGGATTCACATTTTGGCGGAAACCTCAGGCGCGGTGTGGCAGCTGGTCTATGGGATGCGCGGGTTGGAGGGGACCAGCTGAAAGGAGGTGAAAGCACAGTGACTCTTTGCCAGGCCACGACTGAGCAGCACCCAGCAGTGGATTATGGGCAACCAGAGACACAAAGTGCCTGAAACTAAAGATCCCTAAATCAAGGGTTGCTCCAAACACCCCTGGTACAAGGGGGGGTAAAGTGGGTTAATACCCCCCTTGCGGCGGGAAATTTACCGATGAGTTGGAGCATCCCTGAAATCCGTGTCGATGTTTTGATCAAAGATCACTACAACCCTACGTCAACTGCGATATCCAACAGCTGAGCTCTAGTTGCAAGATTCTGTGTCTCTGTTCCCGAAAAGCATTTCAACTCCAACGCAAACAAAGAGCACCACTAGAGGAAGAAATGGATTCAAATTGAATAATCAGGTAAACCCAATGACACAAACCATCACAGCAACCAGCCATGGGTTATTTTTAATCATCCCAAACAAGGGTATACCCAACAATAACAATAAACACCGAAATGGGGATTGCTTAAAATTGGGTAACTATATTATATAATATTATAATCCCCCTTGCTTGATGGGTACCTACCCCTAGCTGGTCATTTCATAAATAATATACATCTTTGGGCATTTATGAAATAGGTGGCCCGACGGAAAAACATATTTCCGCAATATAAATGCAGGTATAGTATAATATAAAACCTTGAGGTTTTATGAAATGCCAACACGTCCAAAAACTGAAAGTATCCCGATAACAAGTTTTTTTATTTTTTTCCGTTTATGGACTGCCCGGGTTCATTATTGGGATTTGCAACAAACAGCACTATAAAATGCCCAGATGCTTGAAAACTCCTTTAAAAAAATTGATACATGTATGCCATCTATGAAATGGGTTTGGTGGCAAATGGCGTCAAAAGTAAGGAACACCACCAAATCTGGGATACCCTGAGTTAAGTCAAACCCAAACTTGCTTCTAGATTGTTTCCCAAAAAAACAGTCAGCAAATGTCAGCTGCTTTCACTTTTTTCATCTTTTTTCACCTGTTTTCCCCCAGGTTTGAGTTTGCCAGTTCACTTTTTTCATTTTTTTCAAAAAACATCTCTATCCATAAGTTATGCCCACAATCGCTTTTAAAACATTCAGTGGTTCATTTTCAAGGTATTGCAACGGAATTTCAACATTTTTTTTCAAAATATTTTTGGTCAAAATATGTTTGTCAAAAGATGTTGAAACATGGGATTCCTATCCATAAGTTATGCCCACAATCACTTTTAAAACATTCAGTGGTTCATGTTCAAGGTATTGCAATGGAATTTTAACATTTTTTTTCAAAATATCTTTGGTCAAAATATGTTTGTCAAAAGACGTTGAAACATGAGATTTCTATAAATAATTTATGTCCACAATCAGTTTTAAAACATTCAGTGGTTCACTTTCAAGGTATTGCAATGAAAATTTAACATACGTTTTCAAAATATTTTTGGTCAAAATATGTTTGTCAAAAGATGTTGAAACATGAGATTCCTATCAATAAATTATGTCCACAATTAGGTTTAAAACATTCAGTGGTTCATTTTCAAGGTCTTGCAATGAAATTTTAGAGTATTTTTCAAAATATTTCTGGCAAAATCATTCTTTTTATCCAACTATAAAATGCCCTTCCTGGAAATTGAGAAGGAAATACCAATGAATCCCAGGCAAATGCATTTCATAAATGTCCTGGTGGTCGCATATGGTCGCATAGATATCTTAAACTTATCTGGGTTTTGGTCTTTAAAATGGATTACAGTGAAAAGAAGAAAAGAAATACCAGCCATCTTCATATCAAGGCATTATATAAATACAAGAAAGGGTGAGAATGGGCATATTGACATCTGCGTGTCTTCATGCTTGTTGAACATGTTTTTGATGTGTGGAAACGATTGGACATGTAATGAGATGATATGACATGTATGTGTTTATATTAAGGGTTTTATATTTATACACATGTGCATGTAATTAGGCTTCAATATATACACATGGTTTATGGTCGGAGCCAAATCACCCAAGACTTGATGCAATCTTGTGTACATCTTGTGGTTACCACAACAGTGGGGACTGTGCATGTTTAAACATGTTTGATCACTTAAATGGTCAAGAACAAGTATCAAGACTTTGCTTTATTGGTAGTTACTGTTTTAGAAGAAAACACAGTCAGCTAAATTTGTGCATATAAATATTTATACAATTTGGATTTGTAATGATTTGTGATTTGTGCATATTTTCCATTTTTGTTCCCACCTGTGAAGGAAAATCCCTCAGAGTGAGCCAAATGGAGGATGTGATGCGAGGATGGGCACATGTTATTTCAATCTCCAAGCTCCCATTTACAAAATGCCCTGCCGGTCAAAATAATGGAACATACAACTGAACATGGTATATACCCTTTTTTATTTATAAAATGCACCCTGCGGGTATCACAACACTAAAAACAAATTAGCATAATCTATCATCCATACATGATGGCAGATTTTTTATAAAATGCCTGGCCATACAAAAGAATTCCCAAAATAAATATATATATTTTTTTTTGAAATTGTTTTCGTTTATGAGAAGGTAGTTGGAGGGGGCATTTTGTAACACCAAACGAGTGGCATTCTGTAAAGGAACAATCATGGGGGATATATTATATATGCATCTCAATAAATAAATCCTCACGATGAATCACGATTAATCACGGCTCAACTCCGAGACTTCGGTCTCTTGGGCACCCATCCCTGGAGGCCGCACCACACCACGGCACGGTTGATGATCTTTGCAAATTTGGGATCCAATGGCACCTCAAACAGGACACCAACAAAGACCATGTTTGTGCATTCGAACAACAGCAAGTTCTGTTTTGGTTTTGAGAAAACAATTCCTGGTTTGCCAACAAATTGTGGCGCTTGACGCCATAGTCTTTGGCACCAAAGTCTTTTTGAGGGCTATTGGAACAACACAGTTTTGTGTGAAAACAACACTGACAACACAACACTTCCCTTTATTCATGACCGAATTTGTTGAACACAAGAAAACAACACACACCCGCCATGCTAAAACAAAAGAGGAAAGGAACGGCAGCGGCACCACAACCGGCACAGCTGATTTCCTCAAACGTTGGAATTTCCCACTGCTAGCTTAAGCTACCATTCCCAGAGGGTCGCTGACAGCCTGCAGATGGATTTGTCCAAGTCCAAGTAAAAGGTACTTCACAATCCAATGGGTTTCTCATCATTCACACCATTAAAATTACGAAACATTGAGATAGTCGCGATTTCTTGGCAAACCCCCATGTTTGGAAACAGCCATATCGCTAAGCCACTAAGCACTAAAACCGTTTGAACAAATACTTCGAACCTCAGTACTATCACCAAGGCCACAAACTTTCACCAGATTAATCCCTTCCTTTTAATATCAAACGCACCTAAGAAACTATGATTTGTTGTGAAGGCGGTTTACACATATTTGACTATTCTGAAAAGTTCGGCTATTTTGGGACAGCTACCCCGGATCCTAATCATCATTTCCAATGAGGTGGCAGTGGGGTTGTTATAATAATTCCATTCATATCCACCCAATGTTCCACCAATCTAACATTAACACCCATGAATATCCCATTAATACCCCGTTAAACCCCATTAATATCCCAGAACCCTCATCAATATACCATTGATACCCCATTAACCCCCTTCCATTTACCATTGATATCCCACATTAGGCTGGAACTTATATCCCATCAATATCCAATGAAATTATCTTTTATCCTTGGTTTCTCAGATTCATCCAATTTCTGGCGGCCTCACGGTCTGCCTCTTGTCGTTCCCTCTTCAAACGCACCTGATTTTTCATCAGCGTCTTGCGGCTCAGCTTACTGGTCTCCGAACTTTGATATTGATTTTCCCATTCATTCATATTTGATTTTCGCAGGTATAAGCGTCCATTTACAAGGGATTTTCCAGCAAACCATGTTTGATTATTAAAGGGTATGATTAATCAGCAATGAAATTGGAGTTCTGCTTACAAACTTAGCTAACTATGGGGCACCACATTGCAACTTCGGGGTATGGTTTTCAATACACCCAAATGTTCGAAACACGGTTACGATTCGTAAAAAAAAGGAAAATAAAAGTAACCATGGTAAATGGTTGGTCGTCGGGCTTAACGCAATTATACATACCGAAAATCGCACAAGGGTCGTGTCTGCTGACAGGTGGAGAACCTGGAAGCCTAAAACATATGGCTTTCCGCTACCAAAACTGACCATGAACTGCTTGATTGGTAAAATCCCTGTTTGTTTTGTGTGATATGTGGAAAAATATACCATGATATACCTGGTCTTGGTTGGACACATCCTCAATATCTTTTACCCTGGTAATCAAACATGGCAATGGACGATCCCCTACAACTGCAGGGTTTAATGGGAAAATCACCCATACATGGGGGACTCTCCATTGCCATATTTGATTACCGGCGGGTATATTGGTTGATGTCTTTGGTTCTTGGATAATTAAGCCTCTTATTTACAGCTCTTCAATACGCTCTCTCTTGTCGACCGTCTGATTTTTGCCAAGCCGCCATCATCTCAGATTTCTTCCTGGGCTGCTGCGGTGCTTGGTCACACAAACTCAACATATCTCGATTTCAAAGAGACTCCTCACGACGTAAAATTATCCCGGACGAATCAAGAACACCGGTATACCATAAACAGATTGCAAAAGCAGCAACAACACACACAGGACAAAACTCGGCACACCCCAACATCGTGAATATGACACGACATCAAGCTGTAATTCTTGATTACTGGAACACCGAGCATTCTTCATGGACCATTGTGGGGAGCAAGGCGAAACAAGCATTCAGTTCTTCGCTGTGCATCTTTTTGCCAGTCGATTTCTTCTTTTTCTCTTTCTTCTTTGTTTTCACCTGCCAATGGCTGTAGTGAGGAAAGTCACTGTGTGGAAAAGCCAAACAACAGTGATGACACCATTCAATCAAATTAGCTAGTAGCAGCTAGCCATCCCCTCAAAATGGGGCGGGCTTAAATCCCAATAGAAACATTTTTAAGGATAGGAAAAAAACTGAAGGTCACGTTTGCCCAGACTCAGACCTTCTTGGTTTTCTTCGTTTTCTTCTTGGAACTGGAGCTCGATGAACTCGAGCTGCTGGCGGCTGGCTGCGTGGCTGGAGCCTTTTCTGTCGCAGGGTCCTGGTCACGTTTTCACACGCTGGAGCCCAGTTGAGGAAACATCGGTGACCGCCATGAAAAGGCAAGGTATGTTCCTGTCTTAGTTTATATTTGAAAATCCCTGGAAGGGCCTTATCTTCATCATCTTAGTATCGGCCATGATCGATACAAGGAAATTGGCCTACAACCATTATCCTCATTTTTTCTAATGCACCGCAGCAATTTGTCCCAACATACAATAATAGCTGGTAACCATAGGGTTTTCCCAGAAAGCCATGACATCCTTAACGCGTCCTCCGCAGCACGTGTGCTCTGAATCTCCAGTTGCTGTTGGAGCTTGTCTCCGATGAACTTTTGAAACATGCGCTTCCTGAGAAGGGAATCGGACAAAATGAGGGTATCCAACTGACCACAAAAATGTATAGAAGGGAATAGATTCCGAAGTTGTTTTAAGTTATATCTTAAGTTATTCACAGGCTTCCCACAATATTTCCTCAAGCAACACCTGACTTGGGGAGGTTGAAGCTGGTGGCCCCAGATCAATACAGGCTTAACACCCTCTTGGAGCTTTTCTTTACCAACTTCGTGGTCATGAATCAACTGTATCAAGGATCAATCACTACTGGGGTTGGCTTATGTTAAAGCAACAAGAAGTAGGTGAAGGTCCAACTGATGCAGTTGCTGCCCCTTACAGCGTTGGAAGGTCATAGTTCATTTTTTAAAACAAATGCAGGAAAATTCAACAACCACTGAAGTTCATCGGATTTAACAAGTAAACTCTTACAGAGCCTTACCTTTACCCCCAAGTTGAATAGGTTAGAGCCAAACTTTTAGTTGTAACACGGCCCCAGCAAATGGCCCTAGGCGCATGGTCCCTTCTGGATCTGCCACGTGAATGCCGCGTGACCAGGCGGCGACTTTGGCCGACCTTGCCCAGACGACCACAGGGGTGTCTCCAAAACGAAACCGAGGGAATTGATCATCAAAAGTCGCTGTTTAGGTTCCAAAAGTAGCACCAATCTAGGAAAAATGGTAATCAACCTTTAAAAACCTTAGACTTATCCATGGGGAACATGAACAAAAAGATATGGAAATCCATGGGTTTCAGTAGGAAAATGATCTACTTCGAAAAAGTCATGGGGATTCAGCCTCCCGCAGGGGTGAGCCCCAATAATGGACCAATATAGTATAGATGTTGAAAATCCGACCTTATTGTTGTGGTTGCTGGTGGTTCATATAAACCCTTGATCTTTTTCACATCAACTTACCATCGTTGTTTGGAGGTGATTATATCCCCATGACGATACACATGGAATTTAAGTCAAAATTTTCAGGTTCAAGTTGTTGCTCTGTTTGGGGTTTGCTTGGGGTCGACCCAGGGTGGGGCTTGGCCATAAGCATCTCAGCTCGGTTGATTTAAGCAATGAACAAGTGGGATATCTTTATCAACAGTTGGCATACACATTGCATACACATTGCTTTTGTTTTGGTGGTTGCTACCAACGAGAGTGGGGTGATATGGAGAGAGAACTTGTCGCTCAAATGGAATGTGTGTAAGCCGGCAGTCAGCATATGCAAAAAAATCAAGCATAAACAGCATGGCGGTATGAAGATAGTACGAGTACTTTTAAGAAACACCTGCTGGTTGTGATTGAGAAAACACTCACACACAATACGGCATGATATTGCGTCTAGTATTAGCATGGTTCTGATTGAATATTCAGCATATTGGAAATCAACAAACAAACCTCTGTCCGTTCTGCGATGGACATCCCCTTCAAGAGGTAAGAAGGGTCAAGTCGGGACGGATTGATTCTGAAAGGCAGCAAGTAGTATCATCGTATCAACATATCGGGAAGTAGAATGATGCCTAAATCCGAAAACATAGGAAACAGAAGTTGTGCGAGGTTTTTCTCTTACTAAACGTCATTCTATGACGCCATTCTTTGATTGGCCCCAAATCCAGGTACCTTCGATTTTCAATGAGACGCCCAGTCATCTGCCCGGTCGTCGCCTTCGCGCATTCTCTTCCAATGTTCCGCGCGCGCTTTCTGATCGATGAGGAAACTCCGAAAACTCGTGTTCAAAGTCCATGGCACAAGATGCTGTTGATGTCGGCCAGAAGCTCTAGAGGAATTGGTGACTTCAACTTCAACGATGAAAGCATTTGCTCTTCAATTTAGGTTAATCTACCGGGTGATTCCAGCCGCGGATGCGACGGAACTCAAAAATGCTTTGAACCCGCCAGCGTCCCGAAGCCACAGTTTCTCCGGAATGATTTTCAGTCATCATATGAGGACTAGGTGTAGAATATATATATATATTATGTATCTTTATCTATCTATCTATTTTTGATTCTATTTCTACTAATCATCAATTGTCTTCATGGTATATTTACCAATCAAACTAGTTCAGCAACTTGCTAAAAGGCAGGACGCTAGTCTCATCCTGAGCCCCTGGACATTGCGTAGATGTAGAGGTACATATACCAAGTCAACAAAGAATGACCAACATCAAGCTGGGTGCCGTTAGAGAATTCCCACCAAAGAAAGGTTTCTAGCTGGGAATATCACGGAATATCAACTCTAAATATGGGATTTTCCCGCGAGCCAGCCACATTTGTTGGGAGGCTACACCTTTTACGAGATGTGGTGAATCACTGGTGAGGTCGTCAACGGCCGGAGATGTTGATAACATATGGCAGTTTGAAATGCAATTTCTTCCGACAATCTCAGGTACACTGCACAAAACTTAAATATAGTTATATATGTATATATGTATAAATGCATTTGATGATCACTGATTTCATGATTTCTCCGTGATCATACCCACGATCCTTCTGATTTCATCATGTATAGTAACCCCGCAAAAATGCCGAACGCTTGGAAATGCTGAAATTCACAGGAAAAAATCATCAACCTACCATGCTGGAAATACGTTTCGTTTTTTTGGGGGTTTACGGTATTGCAATCAGAATCACCTGGATGCACACCTTCACCCAGAGGTCCTCCAAAGTGATCCCATGACCCTGGGTGGGTGGTGCCCAAAGGAAGGGCAGCGTTTCTCTTACGAAGGGCTACGAAAAAATGGCTATGTTCAGGTGAGTTTGTCTGAAGATGTTTTGCTCCCCATTGGAACAACTCTAAAAGTAGAAGTTTCCATCCCAACAAACCTCCGTTAATCAAAGATGGGAATTGGTAAAGCTCTATAACCGGAGTTTTTAATCTGCGAACTGAGAACCATCTATGATTTATAGATGGCTGATTTTCCATTGTCATGTTTGATTACCAGAGGGTACACAAGTTTATTTTTGCCATCATAAAATTGCCATTTTGGGAAATCCCCTATCGTGCAAAAACACAAGCAACTCGATCAGAATCGTATTGTTGGTCATGAATTCCATGACAGACATCCCGATCCACAAACCGGTTGATTTCATATCCAGAATATGTTCAGGAAAAATCCACCCTAACCCATTTCCAGTGTGATTAGCAACAAACCTTTGTTTTTCCAAGTGTAAGCATGTCTCTCTTGAATTGTTGTTTCCCTGACATTCAAAGATACTGATGGCTATTTTAGCGTCTCCCCCCTTTTTTGGGTTGTATGCCCCAATGATATCGGAATAAAAATGGTTTGGGTAGGGCGCAGGGGAAGATATGGGGCTTATATTCTCATCAAAATGGCGGGCATATATCCTCATACTGTTGGTTCTACCCCCCACGACGCTTGTCACGACGAAACATGATACCCTAATGATGTGCCGGTTTGAATATGATATACTTATACAAATATATATATATATTTGTAATGGGATGTATCCACAACATATGTTATATATATACATGTATATATATATATATATATATCGGTTCTATATTCCAATTGTTTGATTCATTTTTGCTATAGACACTATGCTTTACTCCATGTCAGTCCATTACATTCCATGGTTTAACCATGTTCAATTTAGTATATTTCATCTTCATCCCATGATTTTCCCATATCAAAATTCTTGGAGCCCCGTGTTGCTTGATATCGCCCACCTCTTTAGCTTTGGCAACTCTCCGGAGGGAGCTAGGCCAGGCGCTGGAGTGCCTGGAAGCTCTTGAGGCTTGGCCAGCCCACATTGAATGGAAAATACAGAGATATTCTGTCATAAATTGACTGGTTGCTATGGAAAATCACCAGTTTTCAAAGGTAAACCAACTATAAATGGCAATCTTCAAGAGCCTATCTTACATTACCAGGCATGACCCAAAAACAAAACCATGTGGCTATGCTTCTCTGAGAATCTATCGGAGCAACCCTGAATTTAAGGGAAAAAGTGGGGATGCAACCCGGAAGGACAAAACTGCGGCTTTGACCGCAAGACCAACTAGAGATCAAATCCACAGCCGCCACAGCTGCCATTTCCGATTCAGCGCGGGTCGAGTTGCCAAAAGACTACGTTGCCAATGCGGCGCGTTGCCAAGTCCTGACGAAGGAGAAACAGCAAGCAACAGAAATAGACACACCTTTGGCAAACTGTGGATATATGTTGGGGATATGTGGTGCTAAATGGTGGGAACAGAAACCTATCGGGATATATGCGGACATATCGGAAACAATTTTCGGCATCAAATGATGTTGACTTATGATGGGAAACCATGGACAAACAATGAATTAGCCAACAAACGATGATTTGGTTCACAAACTGCACATGTTGCTGCACATGGATGTCCATATCACCATACATCTGTAGAAGTATAAGAAACATGTACACCCGGAAACCAAGTTAGACTGTGATCAACAGTCAAGCCCACGGGGAAGTTCAATTCTACAAGTTCTACATATATACAAAACTACGCATATTTGCGTTTAAATACCATGGGGTAACCAAACGTAGCCATGCAAAATATCCCATGTACTGTGTATATATAAATATATATATATATATCGGTATAGATTGTTTTCCCGGAATTCCCATTGACACATCCATTTTTAAGGGGATTTTCCATTGCCATGTTTGATTCCCAGGCGGTATGCGGTAATATATGCTTATTTTATATGCGACCTAGCGATGAAAAATCACCGTTTGGAAAAACGGCAAGTCATAGTTTCTTTAACCCATGTTCATTGGCCATCCATATTAAACCATGTTAAATAAACAGATAATATTTCCCATGAATATCAGTATCCCATAAGATCCACGCATTTGTTGTTTAAGTCCCTATGAACCACCATAAACCAAAAAAATCTTATTAACCCCCATGAATCATATTAAAACATCGTTGATGGTTGATCCCATGAAATCCCCTTTGACAACTTCAGGGTGAGCACTCTTCATGGGTGCTGACCGCTGACCCAGAAGACATCAGCGTCCGTCCCAGGCCCATGCCTTTTCGGACAAGGGCTGCAAGCACCTGCAGCTGGCAGGCTGCGGCAGCTGGATGTTCAAATGATGGTCATTGGCTACAGGCTTATCTATGTATATAAACATTTATGTACACGTCCCAGTGAAACAATAAAACTGTGGAACTTTCCTCACATACTATCTACAAAGGGATACGATTAAAGTTCAATCAAATATAATCTGGCTGAACCATACTATTTCACATTAGTTCACCAACTCAAAAAAAACGTTATCAACTACCCCCTATACATTCACCGTCACTCCATGACGTCACGAAGAGAGGTCGTGATCAAATTCAGCCAAGCAAATATGCCATTACCTGTTGAATTAGATATCCTAATACGTATATATACCATTAATGTTCTCCCCCAGCTATGTTAAACTGCAGCCCCTCTCAGGAAATCAGCGCCCGGACCTCCTAACAGCTCTGATGAACATGTCTATTGTACTGCGCCTGCCACGGAAAATGCATCTTGCAGATCCTCTTCAAATGTCCCACGCCTGCCATCGTTTTTGGAAATGCTACCAAACCCTCACGTTTTGCTCACTTTTGAGAAGGTGCACAATCCCCTGCGCCTGCCACGCGAAACGACATCTGAATGCCCAAAAGTGGTCCGTACCTGCTGTGTTTTGTACATTTTGACTTCGAAATGTGCTTCGCGCCACAACCGCGTGCACTTTTTTGACATCGCAACTTCCAAAAGTGGTCCGGAGCTGGTGTGTTTTGTACATTTTGACTTTGAAATGTGCTTCGCGCGACAACGGTGTGCACTTTTTCGACATCTCAACTTCCAAAAGCGGTCCGGAGCTGAGGTGTTTTGTACATTTGGGCTTGGAAATGTGCTTCGAGCCACAACGGCGTGCAATTTTTTATCTCTCATCTGGCCAGCTGGCTCCGCACCCGCCGCTTTAGCGAGCCTACTTTGCGACCCTATGGAGCCACAAATCATTGGAAAAACACAGTGTCTCGCGACTTTCCTACCTTTTCGCGCACCTGCATCTTCTTTCTTCTGACTCTTTCTCTTCTCTGATCTTCTCTTCTCTATTCTTCTGCTGCACCTCTGCTTTTCATCTGTCCATATTGTCGGAAGTTTGACTTCTAAACTTTCTTCGATCAACGGATAATAATATTTTCCAACGTTCTCAATGGAATCAAAATAGTGACAATGATACTACTTATACGCATATCCAAGTCTTTGTCCTACTATATCCCACTAAGTCCGATTAAATCCTGGTAAATTTACCATGGCTAAGAATGATAATTTTCCAAAGCTATGGTAAATTAAATCATGTGCAGGTGATTGAGGAACGTATGAACAACATAAGCTATTCTGGCATATGATGCTAGGGAATATAATATATTGTAGATGTTCGGTAATACAAATTACCACAGTTATGGCCCTTAAGAGTTAAAAATGGGATGAAATGACTTTTATACCTGAAGTTGTTCATCATGAAACAAATCCATTTATGACTGTTAAAATCTGTTAGTTGGGCCCTAGCCGCAGGGCCTCGGAGCTCGCTGTAGCCGATGCCGCGGCACCTGGATTCCATCGGTGTCTGGAGCGTTTCATGGACGTATGGAAGAACACATGGCGTTGTTAAACATTGGAACTGTAAGGTAGCTTTGGAAAAACATTTGAAATGTTTTAAGTTATAATCATCTTAAATGAAAAACACACCATTAAAAATATAAGGTAAATGG